ACTTTGCATCATACAGATTTCGAGTGCATACTGGGTGCGACTTCCTAAAAAGCACACACAGGCCGTACTAAAGTATACTATTTATTGGCCTTAGAAAGCATGATTACTAGATCTAGCACTTTAGCATAGGCACGTACTTTTAGCAGCAGTATCGTTGTCCGAACCGAGTAGGAACGACTACAGCATGAGGGAGAGTTGAGAGGGCGGAAACCAAGGCGAGCTCGGCAGTGCTCAGGGCCCCAAACATGTACTTACTCTGAATAGTTGAAACCAAGATTCACAGCCCTAGCATGGCTGAATCAGCTTCGTCTCCAACAAATGGTAGCGCCAGTGCTAGGACCAGTACTAATACACTTCCTGTTGAGATTGAGGGAATATGAGCCCAGTAATGACTTTAATCAGCGTCACTTCCGACTTACACTACAGTCAGTAATAGTACCGGCAAATACTATCACTCACCTGCACCCTAGTTAGTAGTATTAGAAATAGCAGTAGTGGTAGAAGCAGTACCAGCCTAGCTTCCTAGAGTCGGGCTAAACACCTTTTGTAGGTGAGTGAGGGTAGACACTGCAGTAGTATCCGTGCAAAGTCTACTGTCACTAAAGGCTAAGTTAGGCGGTGTTTCAGGCTGCATTAGAGAAAGCGGCTTCCGCCCAAAGCCTGCTTCGGTTATCTCGACTTCGGTCTTGTCAATGGTTTAAGTGGTGGAGGGTTAGAGTGAGATAGAAACTTGCGCGTCTAGTTCACTAAAATCTCATACTTAGCTCCATTTACTGTCTCTGCTCTTGAGCACATGATGAACTTCATCGAAATCGATGGTCATACAGCACCGTCCTGAATAAAGGCTTCCTATCAGAACCGGCTTTTTGCCTTTCTCCTGCCTATTAGTCGGGGACATAACAACTGGGGACGCAGGTGAGATCCAGTTGTTTCATACGGGACAAAACACTAGGAAAACTGCCAGCGCACACCAGGCCTCAGAGGTCATGGTTTGCTGGAGCGTGGCATTGCATACGCGCACAATCCCTAAATCTCAGAAGGATGAGGAAACAGCCCTGTAGTTAGCCTAGGCCATCACCCATCAGAGACAGCGTAATCATCCACTCATCGACTGAGAGGAACTACCCATACGCATCAACCACCGCAAACACTGGACTGATGGGGTGTCTGATAAGCGCGTCGGCTGACGGCTTAGTCAATGTGA